AGTCGGCATACAGTTGCAAGTTTGATGGAGAATCGCCATCAGGAGAGCAGCAGACCGTCACCTGTGTTCAGCCTCCGGCCAACTTATGTGTGACCAGTTGGTGCGTTGGCTCGGCAGGTAGTTTGACCTGTGGGCCGGGCAACGGCAACGACCCCGTTTGCATTTCCGGTGCTACGGGCCAGGACATCAGCAACTTTGCGTTCTTCTACACCTGTTGTCCGGGATCGGCCACGACAACCACGACCACGACCACAACTACCACTGCGGTGCCCAGCTGCGTCAATGAGGAGTTCGATTGTCCGTCCGAGGTTGGTTTCTTGCCTTTGCAGGTGATCAACACAGGCAACCGAAACAACCAGAACCTCGTGGCCAGCATCCGATCCTTGGACATCACCACTGGCCAGTACTCCGACGTTTGTGAGGTCCAAGGTGTGGATCTAAACGCTTGTGGGCTGGCTCAAAGCAACTTCATCTACTGCGTGGCGCGTGACTCCAACGAAGGGGAGATAAACCCAGGGCAGTTGGTTCGAGTGACATGTCCACTGCCCACTCAGGAGGGCCCTGGGGTCGGTTCGGTGTGTTATTTGGGCTTGGTGCAAGGAAGGCCCTTCTCCGGCACCACAGACACCCGCGTAGATTCCATGCTAACCCTCAACGGCAATACGCTTTTCAATTACTCAAACATCGATTCGCTGGTGGCGAACGGCCTCGGGTGGAGTTTTCAAAATCAATCTACAGAGAACTTGCCCCGCACATCCGCAAGCACCAATGTTCCAAGCAGCAGCAGCATAGCAGACCCTTGTTTATTGGGCAGAAGATGTTTCGTGAGGTAGTCCCTAGGCTTTTGGGCAGTTAAGGCCCCAGCTTTGGTTGCGCACTGCGCAAGAACTCAGGATTTCGTGGTGCTGCCCGACACAACCTTTGAGGGAGATACCGGGGATTGGTTTGTCGGCTGTGGCCGTCAAAATCTGCCCAACAACGAGGAGAGGGCTTTGGTGTATGTGCAGCTGCTGGGCTCCAACCCCATGGTGTCCTATGTCCTTTACCTGCGCAGCCAGTAACCTTTAGTTTTCGCGAGGTTTTGGAGCTCTAAAACAACCTGGGTGCTAGGCCCCGAGCCCCATACCCTGAACTTCACGTGTCCTTGTATCCCTATCTATCACTATCTATGTGTCCGTTGCACATGATGCTTTCCATGCATAGTAGACCTCAATATAGAGCGTCCGCATCATGGGGACCCCCTTAGCCTTAAACACAGGGCCCCCCAAAACAGCTTAGCTGAGGACCTGAGCATGGTGCCGGCGGGTCCAGGCATTACTCTGCCAAGGGGCATTTCAGGAGCACAGTGGAGCCCCAGCTGATGTTGACTAGCGCAAGTAAAAGTAACAGCAACAGTTATATGGTTTAGGGCTTAAGGGGTTTAGGTGTGTTAGTGTTTAACGCAACGTCAAGGTAATAACTAATGATAGTCATGGCCCAGTCATGGCAATCGCAATGGTAATAGGTCATAGTGATTGCAAGGTCTGGACTAGCAGAAAGTAGCACTTGTCACAGTCCCCGCTCCTAATGTGAAATATGTCCGCCAATTCATTAGATCCCTCATGGGGAGTATTTGATATTAGGGGTGGGTGTGGTGCATGTTGAATAGTAGTACAACGGAAATGAAGGTCCAGCTCCCCACAGACTAGACCCCAAAACCCTTAAAAAGTAATTCTACCGTTTCGAGACCTGGACTTGGGTTCAACAGTAAAAAGAGAGTATGAGCCATGTGTTTATGCGTATCTACAGACGTACGGGCCCCTTAGCTGAGGTGAACACGTGTATGTAGTATGCGTAGAGCTTCCAAAGCGAGTCCTAAACTCTCACGGGGCCCCAAAAACAGCTGAGGATCTTCGGCTTCGTCGTCTTCTGCGCATACAACAATGGCCAGGACGGCGTTTTGGGTCTAGGGTTTCTTTGGGGGGGCTCTTGAAATACAACACTCCGAAACAACTTACGATTGTAGGTAATGAGGGGTGCCCCCGACCAAGTTGGGGAAGAGTCATTTGGGGGGGTTTGGAGTTTGGAGGAATTCCAAAGGCAGGACTCTCGGGCTCCCAGTTCAAAGCGTGCCACGAGTCTGCTTCAGCCTTTTCTAATATTCCGTTGCGGGGAAAAAGTTCAACACTCCATTACGTTTTTTGGTAAACAACATGTGCAATGATTTTTGTTCATTTTCCGTCGGGCCAAAAAATCTCGTTCTATGCCGAACCGCTGTATCTTTGATTCCCTTATATTTGTTTATATTAGTCTACCAATCCTTTTGTCAACGCCCAATGCGCCAAGCTGCACAGCATGCTATCGAGACGTGCTAGCTAGGCCTAGGGGGGCTAAACCAGGATTTGATGGAGGGTTTGAGGTGTAGGGATTAAGGTTTGGGGCTGAGGAGTTTAGGGTTCAGGGTCAAAAGCCCCGCATCGAAAACTACCCACCTCAGATTCACTTAGAGTCACAGCGTTGGTTGCATCACGATCACATGAAGAGATAAGGATCCTTTAGTCCCTAACAGGTGGTACCATTGTATGCCCGTGCACTTGCGGATTTCTTTCAGAACACTACAACGTTAGGCACATTCACGGACAAAAGATCAGTGCCTGTCCTCTGACCGAATCCTTGCCCATTCAGAAAGGAAAAGAAGATACAAACTGATTGGCCCCTTCTTCTTACTCTAAATCCCCTGCTGAAACACGATTTTCAAGCCAAATTCCCGACCGACCCCTGCCCCTGCCCGAAACCTTCATGGTTGGATAAAATTCAGCATTAGGACGGCGTCTACCAGATAGACTTGAACACCGCCAACTTCACGGGCCTCACGGTACCTAGGCCAGCATTCTAGGTTTACGGCATCCTGTTTGCCTGTCAGTAGGGAACCTTCAAGGATTGAGGGTCCCTCATGAGCCCCCATAGCAAGGACTATGATATATTGGGGTCTACATTTCGGCCCCCTAGCCCTGTTTATGGAAACCCTCCTATAGCCACAAGACAGATATCCGGACTAAGGTGCCTGTGGGGAGGGTGAGCGACTCTGCCAACACAGGGCGGAATGATGCATGGCTCCAATTGTCTTTCATTCATTGAAGTAAAGCTATAGGGACCGTTTTGGCCGCTTTGCAGAAAGAGATAATGGTCTTGTGGGCTTAGGCCTTCGCCAGGGAGCTTCGGTTGCTTTGGGAAGATTTTGGAGTTAGACGCTGCTACAAGCTAGCACGGGCGTGGACTGAGCATCTTGAATATCTGGACAGATGGATAGAGTTTGATATTCGGGCCACGATTTTATACCTTCAAAGATTAGGCACAACATTGTGATCGGTGCCCGAACAAAGCCCTAGGTTCCAGAATCAATCATCTACACTCCCCACAAGTCCTCACTGAACGGGCCAAACTAGGCAGAACAAAGTGAAAGAGGAAGAAGAGCAAGGATTGTCCATGTTTGTCCTATGTGGAATTTAGTAGAACACCTCGACCATCGCGGCAACTCAGTACAGCTTACTCTTGTGGGCACAGCAGTTCTCGGAGCTTGAGTGGATTTCATGAAGCAGTTTTGGAAATGCTGGTTCTATTCCATGTGGGTGCATGCTACAGCCGCGGTTGGGACTCTCGCAGACCATGGGCACGGTTGTAACGTATCGATTCGGTCGATACCCAAAACCTACGGATGATAGGTCGATGCAGTGTTGCAAAGTATTGCTATTGACGATCCGGTTCTGTTCGGTGTCTGCGCGTAGCCGTTGTCTTGACTCATCCAGCCCAGCCCTCCCACTTCCTACCCCTCGATGCCCTCCATGCCCTCCACCCTACTTCACCCTTGGCTGTGTGGAGGGGTGGAGGGATGTTGATACGGTTCAATGTTTGTTTGTGGCCATTTAGCATCGGCTCGATGACGATACCGATGCGATGTCGATGAAAGTATTTTTGAAAATGCCATCATGACATGGGTTTACATACGGATTATAGGGGTCCTCAGGATCAAAAGAGCACATTTTGAGAAACTCCCACGTACGCAGTGCTTCTGAACAAATTGCATGGTGCGTAAAGTCCCCCCCCCGCAAAAACTTTAATTCTGCTTCCGCAAGACATCCTGTCAAAATGAGCGCAGTCCAGGCAGGCTGAGAAGCCATCATTTATTACAGATGGAGTGGGAATTGGGATCGAAGCCCTACAAGACATCGCAGTAGCACAGATGATGTTCTAAGATGCCAATGCGGATACGGGTAGATCCATCTCTCCATGCCTTGCGGAGCTGAGGACGGTCTCTTCTGCTTCCCGAAGCCGAACCCCTTTCCAAACATTACTACTGCGACCACGACGACCACAACGACCACAACGACCACAACGACCACAACGACCACAACGACCACAACAACCACAACGACGACCACAACTACAACCAGCACAACCACAACCACTGAGCCAGATGTAACAACGACCACGACGACCACCACCACCACGACCACCACCACGACCACCACCACCACCACCACGACCACCACGACCACCACGACCACGACCACGACCACGACCACGACCACGACCACGACCACGACCACGACCACCACAGACTCGACGACAACAACCTCGACAGA